AATGTGACAATCAAAGATTTACCACTGTCCAAAAAAATCTAACTTCAAAGATATTTGTTGGTTTGAATCCAATAACACCTCCACATTAATCTCATCCCAAATAAAAACCCAATTTTGTCCATTTCAATTGTAATTATCATAATGTATACTATATCTCCTTTTGTAATTTTGAGTAGGTCTTGCTTGCTTAAATGGCTCAAATAATGCAATAAGAGAGAATTTGTGGTGTCTATGTAGCATATGTACTCTATGAAGGGTATGTTGAGTTCTGACATACCTGATGTTCCAAACAATCATTTAAAACATATTTAGAGTTAGGTTTCACACCTATTTTTGATGGAGACCTAGATGGTAACAAACTGTCACTTCCTTTACTTTTACCTTTTTTGCTTTTGACTTGAGATTTAGGGGACACATCTACATTTTTCAAAGCCTGATCCATAACAATATTACTATCACCTTTGTTTGCTTTGTCTAGACTGGCCAACTCCCTTGTTCCCTCTTGAGTAGTTGCTGAATTAGTTAAGATGTTACTTCTATCATCTACATTCCTTACCCCCCCCCCTCCTCCTCAGTGTTAATCGAATCTAAAGTTGCATATTGGTTGTGTGACCAATCAATTTTACCATTATGATTATTTGCCACCTTAGGTTGCTTATGATTAACTTTATTCTTCACACTCTTATTAGTAACTTCATTCCAATCTTCAGGATTTCCCACAGTTTTTCCGTTAGTCAGTCTCCTAAGAAAAAAAGCAGAAGGTTGAGATTGTTGCATACCTCCCCCTTTATTATTACAATCTAGTTGTTTATCATTCCCATCATCCTTGCTTTATTCATCAGCTCCCATGTGTGATCCTGCATCTTTCTTGTAATCCTCATTCGTATATGCTAGTTCAGGATTGTCACGCCCCGTGCCTACACCCCAGACATGGCTGGCACTCAAAAATCATTATTGGCCCCAAGCAAACCCTTGGCCTGGCTTACTTACTCAGTGAAAGTCTTAAACTCAAGAAACTATCTCAAAGGATAACTCATACCAATGTCTTTAAGAAATATTAAACTTAGCCAAAATGGCAACTCAAGTCTCAACCATTAAAATCAGGAAATGGAAAACTCAAGAACTAACATTTGACTATCTATGAAGCCTCTAATCAACTGAGATGGATGTTGGGACAAGATCCAATGAAACTAATTAAAACTACTAAAAAGCAATAAAACGGGATCCTCTGGAAGCAAGGAGGCTCACCAACAAGTCTGGTGCTCAACTAGAATCAACGATGCACTGGATGATCGATCATCATGGTTACCTGTATCTGCATCATGTAAAGATGCAGGCCAAATGGCATCAGTACATTACGAGTATGCGAGGGGAATTCTAAAATAAGACATAAGCTTGAAAGGAACTGAAGAACTTACCTGGCTCTACTCAACTCAACTTCACTTAACTCATTTCAATATAAAACAGTATAAAACAAGTTCAATATAAAGAAAAGCTTTTTAAAACATAGATGTCAACTCTATGTATTTGGAAATACAATAATACTCTGTGTGTATGCAAAGATACAATATAACTCTGAAATGTATGTAAAAATACAATTAAACTGTGTATATAAGAATACAAATACTTCTGTGGGAGTTTCTCTAACCGACAACCATCACGTAAGAGCTATTGTGATGATACAACGTCTTGCCTCATGCTGCCAGGGTCGTCCTATACCTTGATGAGGGTATAGAACCTGACTACTATGTGGATCCACTAGTCTATGCTAAAAAGCACTAAGGAATCATCTAAAAAGTATGACCATTTTCTACCAATCATGGCTACATGGTTTATGGGAGCTGTGAGTTGTCTGAACTCTCCCCCATATCGGTGCTCAATACTACTCTCAAAACATGCTACTATCTCTTATGTTTAAAAACATACTTCTTTCTGTGATTGAGATAATTGCTCAAAAACTTAGCTCAAAGGTTATCTTGGAAATCAAAGTTTCCCCTCTTGCTTAATTGTGAAAGCTTTTACTCTTTTCTAAAAACTAGCTCAAAGGTTCTTTGGAAATCAAGGTTTCCTTCTCTTGTTTAAATGTGAAAATATTTTAAACTTTTTGGGAATACATAGTCCCCGTATACTTTTGAAGAAATGAACTTCAATTTTTAGTCTTTACTCTTTACTCAACTTGAACTTTAAGTCTTAAAACAAAGTTAAAACATTTGGAAAAGACTTTGAAAAACTCTAAGAACTTTTCTTGACTTGACTCATACATCTCTTGACTTTGATCTTAACTTTCCTTGAATTGAATTATGGATTCAAGGCTCATGATATCATGTTATGGATGATTTCATGTTGTTTAAACGTACCTTAGTGTGTTGGAACCAACTAGAAAACATAGGTACATTGCTAAGGAACTAGTATGGAAAGATGGGGGGAAATGGGAAGAACTGGCGTCCCTGGCGCTCTGAGAGGCGCGGGGAGCCGGCCTTAAAACTTCAGAGGCTGGGGTGGGGTGCGCTGGCTTGCGTGGCGCCCTAGAGCCCATACTTCAGAGACTCCTTCTTGGGGCTTTGAGAGGGGCGGCACCCCAGGCCCCTACCCAGGTGCACTCTGACTTTTCACCTTCGTTTTTCAACTCTAAACCCTCTATTTCAACTTAGTTCTTTCCCCAAACACTTAGAATCGACTAAACCCTCAATATATGTAAGATTCAACCCGAATTCACACCTAAATACATGAATAAATCTCAAAAACCTCAATAACAAGAACCCACAAGATTGCAATCGAATTTACATCAAGAACTCGTGGAATTTACTTTCAAAACTATATATCTTTGCTGAATTGAATCGTGATTGGCGCGTGGATGAACTAACCCAATGCTATGTGATCTCACATACCTCTTAGGGATCACCCCTTGACGAAATCCACAAGCGATTCTCCAAGAAATCGACGAATCTTGAACTTTCTTCTCCTTTCTCCTCTTTTCTCTAAGCCCTAGCGTGAACTTCAACTTTTCTAAACTGATCTAATTCTGATTAGACCCCAAATAAACCCCTAAAAACGAATTAAAATAATTGGGTAAGGAAAAGATTAAACTACCCTTCCAAAATCCGGATTAAACTTTCCTTAATCGAACAACCCAACTTCAAATGGGCATATCTCACTCATACGAACTCTGGAATCGTGCAAACTCGGCGGCGTTGGAAATATTATTCCAAGATATTTCCTACAATATTTGGAAACACACCTAACTCATCCTGAGTTAGGAGTTATGGTCGTTTGAAGTTGACCAAAAATTCAAACTTAACATAACTTAACAAATTTTCCAAATTTTCGTTCTTTCCAAAAACAACTATTTCTAATTCTAGCTCTTTATAGTTCTTTCAAATAGCGAGGTGTTACAAGGATGAATCACCCTACACTCATACATTTCATGGCTTTGTAGTTTGCACTCTTTGCAATATTTGGGCAAATAATCATACTGAATATTAACTTTGACAGTCCTTATAACCCCCGTATCTTTATATTCAATATACATTCTTACATGATCAGGTAAATTGGCCATTAAATTAACTAGAACCTTGACTTTGGCATAGCTAGGCCTAGTTTTATTAATGGGAAAAGGGTCAAATATGCCTCTAAACTATTCGAAAAGGTCTAGATATACCCCTCGTTTAAAAGTTTGGCTCACTTGTGCCCTCGCCGTCCAACTTTTCGTCTAGATATGCCCTTATGGGCGTTAAATGTCAAATGAAATTGTCACGTCATTTTTACATTTACCACGTGGCATTGGAAAAGGGTCAAATATACCCATAAACTATTCGAAAAGGTCTAGATATACCCCCCTTTTAAATAAACTACCCGACCCATTTTCAACAATTTTTTTAAAATTTTTATTTTTTTTGGGTAAATCTCGAAAATAAGTAATTGACTAATAAAAAAATAGGAAATATATGAAAAAAATATATAAAATTAACGCCAAAATGTCGCAAATAAATATAGTAACCTTAAATTCAACAATTTCAACAATTTTTTAAATTTTTTTTTTTTTTCGATAAATCACGAAAATGAGTAATTGATTAATAAAAAATATGAAAAATATAACCTAAAAATTCAGTATAAATTCATTTTCATATTTTTTTTATTAATCAATTACTCATTTTAGGGATTTATCGGGAAAAAAAAATTGTTGAAATTGTTGAATTTAAGATTACTATATTTATTTGTGAATTTTTGGCGTTAATTTTATATATTTTTCCTATTTTTTATTAGTCAATTAATCATTTTCGAGATTTACCAAAAAAATAAAAATTTAAAAAAAATTGTTGAAAACAGGTTGGGTAGTTTATTTAAAAGGGGGTATATCTAGAACTTTTCGAATAGTTTAGGGGTATATTTGACCCTTTTCCAATGCCACGTGGTAATGTAAAAATGACGTGGCAATTCCATTTGGCGTTTAATGCCCATAAGGGCATATCTAGATGAAAAGTTGGACGGCGAGGGCACGAGTGAGCTAAACTTTAAACGGGGGTATATCTAGATCTTTTCGAATAATTTAGGGGCATTTTTTACCCTTTTCCCTTTATTAATTGTGGCCGTAACTAGATGAATAGGGTTCCTATCACAGATGCTAAAGAGAATAAAGACTAGCTTCCTCTTCCACAGTGAACTTAGAGTTATATATACTAATGGTCGCATTTGATAGGAGACACCATCTTTCGATTTGATGTAGAAAACAACCTTTGATATAAGATTAATAAGATCTTCTTTAAGGGACAATCTAATCAATATATGCCTATTTCTGAAATATCCAATCTCACAATCTCCTTTGATATTACATTGCGCAGGAATAGCGGTATGCAGCTACTCCAGATCTGGCCAACCATATGAAAATTTCCCCACAATAGCATGTTGGAGATTTTCAATTACATTCATTGTGACAACTTCAACTTCAATTTTGCAACAGTGTATGAGCTACATGGCCATACACATTTATTTATAACAAAACAATACAATATTTATTTGCTTATAATACACATACAACATATGGTGCATGAATTAAACCACTTTCAGAATTGAGTAAATAATTTAACTCTGCATTGTTATTTTTGATATTAAAGTCTTCAATCTGTGATAAAATTGGTTTAATTTCTTAGAACTTGATAATAATCTTGACACAATGTGGATCTTTCAATAACTCAAATGATTGGTTGATTTCAGTCAACGAAACTTGATGAGTTATAAGCTCATCTAGTTGAATCTCCTGAAGGAAAAAAAACTCAATATCAATCCGAAAAAAATTCAAATGCCAAAAGAAAAAACAATTCTAAGTAAAAAATCAATCTATACTATCTAAAGAATTTTCAAGAGGATACACTTTATAATCGACTAACCGATCAAAACTACATTTTTCGTGTCAACTAGAGGTGTCAGAATAGGTAATTTGCATACTTATTCAAATTTGTCCATCTTAAATGGGTTGGGTATCCAACACATTTAAAATAGATAAAATATGAATAAGGCATCATTTGTTTTCATTTAGATTAAGACGTCTGAATCTGAATGCACATCTGAATGATTAAGATATTGTCTATAGAACTGAAAACTGAATGATTAACGGTGTTTGTTTTTAAACATCTGAATATATATAATTTATTACTATGTAAACACAATAAATATTATAATTCAAATAAAATAAAAGTTAAATATTACATTAACAAAATAGAAAAAAATGTCACTCTTTGATAAAAGTTAAGATATTTAAATTATAAATAAATATTTTAAGTTTGATAAAAATAAAATGGAACAACATGGACTACATATATAAATTATAATTAAACAAATGGAAAAATGTCAAATATACCCCTGTACTATTGGAAATAGTTTATATATACCTTTCGTTATACTTTCGGTTCATATATACCCTTCCCGTTATACTTTGACACACATATATATCCCTAATTTTAACGGAGGGACACATGTCAGTTTAAGAATTAAATAACCCATTCCTAATTTTAAATACCCAATTTCTTTGAAACCCACCCATTTTTCCGGGTGACCCACCTTCAACCAAATCCAATTTCATAAATCATCTCCTTTATCTAAAACCTCCATTAAAATCAGCCACAAAAGCTCACAGTGAAACTAAAGGAGGAAGTGAAACCGCCATTAAAATCAGCCACAAAAGCTCACTCTGAAACTCGAGGAGGAAGTGAGAAGCATTGCTTCCATTTTTATTTTTTAACTAGGATAAAGTAATTTTATTAATAATAGCAGTACCAAGGGAGTACTGCATAAGTAAAAGAAATAGAACTTCAACACACCAGACACTAAATCTCCACACCATCTCCTTCAACTGTAATTTCCCACTATAAGCTTCAATATCAACTTTCCTTAAAAGGTATTTGCATCATTTGTGTTAAGAAAAGTTTTCCATTTTATATTGTGGATGCTCTTGCTATTGTTGGTTGCCGGAAGTTGAGGATTCAATCTAGATGGTATTAGCTTTTCATTTTTTCCTTAAGTTTCACAGTGAGTTTTCATGGTGGTTGAGGCCTGATTATAATGGATTTTTTTTATAAAGAAGATGACTTAAGAAAATGGGTTTCCTTGAAGGTAGGTCAGGAGGAAATGGATGGATTTCAAAGGGATTGGATAATTAAAATTGGGGATGAGTTATTTGATTTTTAAGTTGACATGTGTCATTTTGTTAAAATTAGGGGTATATATGTACCAAAGTATAACGGGAGGAGTATATATGACCCGAAAGTATAACGAAGAATATATATAAACTATTTTCAATAGTACAGGTGTATATTTGACCTTTTTCCGTTAAGAAAATACATTCATTATAATACATACATATATAAATATTATAATTTTTTTTTTGTGGGTATGGGGTGAGGAGGAGGTAAAAGATTTCGATTTTAAAGTTTTTAACATGATTCCTACTATAATATGGGTATTGTATCCATATTTATCAAAATTATCAATTGGGTAACTCGATCTTACCCATTTAAAATATGAGTCAAGTAGAGTATTTTATCCTTTTTTTTTAAACATATTTTTGATCTACTCATATTTGACCTAACTCACTCGTTTGGCACTCCTTGTGTCAATTGATGTGTCATATTTTCCTCTTTTGTTTGTCTTCAAAAGTATATCATATTTTTTATTTAAAAAGTAGACACGATGTCTAGGACTAGTTTAATTAATAAATATAAGGGAAAATGGTCTGGAAAATACTTCAACTTTGGTTGAAATTGTTGTTACGATACCAAACTTTGAAAATGACCTTTTACCCCCTTGTACTATTTAATAGTGTATTTTAAAGGTATATATGTGTCTACGTGAACATTATAAATATTGCATCATTTTAAATAGTAATGTGTCCATGTGGACACATATATACCTTTAAAATACATTATTAAATAGTGCAGGGGGTAAAAGGTCTTCCATAAAATTTGGTATCGTAACATCAATTTCGATCAAAGTTGGAGTATTTTTCAGATCATTTTTCCTAAATATAAAAGGAGAACTTCAAAGAAAAGAGTACAAGCAAGGGAGATAGGCCTTATCTTACTAATCATAATGAGGTCAGGGACGGAGCTAGTAAGGGCCCAAAGGTTCATCCTTCAACGGAAAATTACACTGTTTATATATAATTAAAAATATTTTTTCCGTATATATAGTAGATGCTGAAGTCCGTTCAACTTTTTTGTGTGCTTACTTTTTATATTTTTAAACTTCTTTAATGAAAATCTTGGCTCTATCACTGAACGAGGTAACGAAAATTGTACCTTATTTGCGCATCTATGAAGTAGAGCAGGAAGATCTGAGTGAAGTCTTATTCCACCATAGACTGAACCTTTCAATGTTCGACCACATAATAAGGAAACTAAGTTGAATTCCCTAGTCAGTTCATGTCCTACACCAATTACAACAATTGTTCCAATTCCCTAATAGTAATTGAGATCAACAAGAAGAATATAATGTTAATAAGTTTCTGTATATGTTTGTTTATCTGTTTTATCAACAAAATATAGAATTTTTTTTTACCAATTTTGAGGCTTCAATGGCTTCATTAAGCATGGATGGAATCCCAGTACATTCGAAAACATAATCAACACCTAAACCTTCAGTAACATCTTTTATCATCTCAGAAACTGATGTCCTGGATTCTTTAGGGTTAATGAAGTCCGTCATTCCAAACACTTCTCCCTTTCCCCGTTTCGATTCGTTTATATCAACACCAATTATTTTCGATGCCCCTTGACTTCGAGCTCCCTCAATCGCCTGCAATTTATTTTATTATTAGTACCCCTTTTATATATCCTGTTACATTTAAACGTCGAGCTAAGTCAAAATGTAGTACTCACTCCAAGTCCAACAGCACCAAGACCTAGTACAGCAACAGTTGAGCCCTTTTCAACATGAACTTCTCTGAATGTTGCTCCATAACCTGTTGTAAATCCACAACAAAGCAAGCTAGCATGTTGAAGCGGAATCTTCTGAGGATCAACCTTGATTACGTAGTTGGCATTAATAACTGTATATTCCGACCAAGTTGCGCAACTACAAATTTGGTATAATACTTGTCCTCCATGAATGGACATTCTTGATGTGCCATCCAACATTAGACCAGAAAGGTTCAAGGGATATTTGTGACATAGATTGGACCTTCCTGACTTGCAATTTGGACATTCTTTGCATTCTCCCAAGTAAAGTGGCATTACTATATCTCCTTCTTTTAGATTTGTCACATTTTCTCCCACACTTTCTATCATGCTACAAATTCAAATAAGTCCAGATTGGCTAAATAAATCAATTTGCAATAATTAACTAGATCATGTTTCGCATTTGAGAATTAAGGGGAGTCATGGCATAACTAGCAAAGTTGTTGTCATCACAGGTTAGAGCCATGCAAACACTCTCTTGCAGAAATGCAGAGTAAAGTTGCATGCAGTAGACCCTTGTGGGTCGGCCCTTCCCTGGACCCCATACATGTAATTTTGCTTAGAATGAAACATAGAAAAAAGATTTTCCTACCCAACTCCTTCATGTCCAAGAACTCGAGGAAATAAAGGCTGGAGAGGACAGAAGAAAAACAACATAAACAAAACGATGGATCCAAATTAGTTAGGAAAGATGAGAAGAATGAAATGGAAACAGAGTAATATACATAGGGATAGCATTGGTAGTGAGAATGTCAGTGTGGCACAAACTGGCAAAGAGCATCTTAATTCGAACTTCATTTGATTTAGGTGGATCCACTTGTATCTCTTCGATCTTTATCATCTCCCCTTCCTTCCATACTACTGCACCTGCACACACACATAATGCATAAATCTTCTCATAATGTTAAAATTAAAGAAAAAACTAGCTCTCAATCTCCATGATTACGCACCTTTGCATGTGATGACCTTTGGGTTGCTTGATTCCATGGTTAAGTTAATCTCTCCTGTAAGTTTACTGGATTCATAAACGTTGAAAGTAGCTTAAGTTTGAGTGAGCACGAAAGAAAGAGAGACTTTCAACACATAACAAAAGACGTTCCAAATGAACATTACATCCAAAAGAGGGTTTAATAGGCACAAATTTCTGCAGTGCAAAATATGTGAATAACTTTACTTTGGAATGTGACTGTGTTTGCAACAAATTTTAAAGTGACAGAAAATAATTATAATCACAAATAAAATATGAAGAAACGTGATTTTATTGATAAATATGTGGGTACAATTCTGTTGATCCCTTGATTCTACTCTCCTTGGATTTATTCATGATTCGAGGGCCGTTAGTGACGTATTTCTCGAACTAGGATGATTTAGATTTGACCTCTATATGAATATTTCATGACTTTTGTGGAATATTTCGAGATCTTGATCTCTTTAAGGAATTTTTGAGATCTTGATATTTAAAAAATACCAAGAGTTTATAGGATATTTTGAGATGTCTTTTAAGGAAATTTTGTACCATTTATATAGGCATAAACTAGGGTTTAGGGTTGAGTAGCCTTCAAGAATTCTAATTTGAATTGAACACAATTTATAGAGTCCCAACTTGATTTGAACGCATCTTGTAGAGTCCCACAAAATTTCAATGTCTACAGACGGACTCTAATATCATAATTAAAAAATCAAGAACATTACATTCAACTCTACTTCAAAAGCCATGAATTAGGAAAAAAATTGCTCTAGACTATATACAGAGTCTAAATTGTCCTCATCCCACAAAAATGTAACTCAAAAAGTTCAATTTTTGTACACAAATTACAGTGAACAGACAAGAGATCCTCCAAATTCTTGAATATATATACTCAAAAGCAAGGACCAAAAATTCCAACAATAATATAATATAACTTGTAGAAGAAAAAAAGACCAAGAAATTAACAAAACTCAAACATTTTGGACAAATTAAATATATTTACTACCTGAACTTTGCTTAATTGGTACAGATCAGGGAGTTTGCTTCAAGTTGGAGGAGAGAAAGAGAAATGTTCCTCTTTAAATACTTTTTAATTTTATTTGTAGAATTAGAAAAAAGGTAACAACAACATTTTTTCAAGATTAGAAAAAAGAAGAAAAAAATAACAATTAAAGATTTTAGATGTCCAAATAGTAGATATCTCCCCTGTCTAGATTTAGGTTACACAGCAGGGCTATTCACGGATCAGTTTGAATTGATTATTAGTCATAATTAAAATTAAATTAGTTTAATTAATTTTTACGTTAAAAAAATTAAATTAAAAATATATATTTATCATTTCGATTGTTATCGATTTTGGTTCTATTTAGTATAATATATCATGTATCTATAATTATAAAATAAAAATATGTATATAATTATTGATTAGATTTGATTATATTTTTAATTGTTTGAACAAAATCAAAATCAAATAAAAAAATTATTAATTTAAATAATATAAAATCAAATCAAATCAAATAAAAATTTATTTATTTTATCGATTTGAATAGATCTTTACACAAACTTTAAACACCTCTAATTAGAGGTACCAATGCAATAATAGCTATGGGGAGAGGAAGGTGGAGTTCAATATCAAACAAAGGGCCAGAAGAAACATTTTCCTCCTAGCATTTTGTTTTCTCCTATTAATACATACTCTAGTTTTTTTTGTTTTTGTTTCCCCCAGTGTCTGGAGTCCATATCGAAGCTCCGACTAAACTTGGATCGCGCACTGCAGGGCCTACTCAGGGTGGCGCTCCCATCAAGATTTTCTCTATATTCAGGGCTCGAACCCGAGACCTCTGATTAAGGATGAAGCACTTCCACCAGTGCACCACAATCCATGTTGGTTAAACTCTAGTTAATTACATTTTTACTATATTATAACATGTTAACAATATAAGACTCTAAGGACTCGTTTGGTTTGAATTCAAGCACTGATAAGATTAGTTATGATAGGATAAACTATGATGGGTTAGTTATGATGGGATAAGTTCTAATAAGATTAGTTTTTATTGAGTGTTTGGTTTGTAGTATTCAAAATAATAAATTTTAAGAACAATGTATTAAAAAGTGATGTATTAAAAAAGGTATAAAGAGATATTTTTGTCATTTACTTATTTTATCTCGGGATAAATTATCCCGAGATTACTATACCACTCAAGGGGAGGGATAACTTATCCCGGTACTAATTATTTAATTCCAAAATAAGTTATCCCAAACTTTTCAACCAAATAACAAATTAAATGGCACAATAATTTAATGCAAATATACTTATTCCGGCTAATTAATTTAAGTTCTTGGCTATTAATGAAACACTGTATATTGATTTTAATAGAACATAGCCTATAAATTCACTTGCCAAGTAGATATCTCCCATATCTAGAGTTCTGTGTCTAACAAATAGGGCCAAAACTAAGAAAGAAAGAAAAAAACATTTTCCAACTATAATATTGAATTCAATCAATCAATATTCAAGTATAGAGCAATTTGATTTCATTATTGAGAAATAACTCTAAATTGAAAAGTTAAAGATAATGAAAAGATTAAATACCTTTATAATACTGCAATGATATAGGATAAAAAAAAATATACTTGAAAAGTTATCCTCTTTTTCTTTAGATTGTATTATACAAATACTAACAGAGCTAAAACACATGCACTACAAAAAAAAGGTCAATTCGTGGGAGTCAAAATTTCAAATAGCGGGGGTTTAAAACCCCCACAATTTTCTGTTATAGGGGTTTTAGAAACTGATGTAGTTAGTGCTGTCACTATTACTTTGTGACAGTTTAACGCAACCCCGCAACCATTTGCGGCAGACAAATAGTGGGGATTTTAACCTCTGTAATCTTTTTTCAACAAATAATTTTATTTTATTTTGTGGGGGCTTATAACCTCAACAATTAAATTTAGGTAGTTCTTTTTGTTGGGGTTATAACCTCTATAATACTTTTGATGAAATTATAATATTTAATTTCGCAGAGGTAATTTTGTGGTTCCAATACATTCATAATTAAATTAATGAAATACTTCATAATTAAAAATAAAAATTATTCACTAAATAATGAAGAATTTAACATAAATTAATATCAAATGACACCAAATATACAATAGACTTTCTTTAAACCAAAAGAAAGTAAAAACAAAAAAGTCTAATATTTCATCTCTATATACACAATGTCTGACTCAATTCACAACTTCTCTAAAAAAACAACTGAAGAACATAACATGTGACATATAATAGTAGCCAAGTTAAGGGTCACTTCATGAGAGAGTTCCCTACGAATAGGCAACGTAATGGCAATGGGGGCAATAGAGCCCAATCTTCTTCAGGTACAGACGGAGGAGCAAACCGTCTATATGCTATCATCAGTCGCCAAGAGCAAGAGAATTCGCCAGATGTTGTCACTGGTATGATCAAAGCTTTACTTTTGATGTATATTCATTGCTAGATCCAAGTGCGAGTCTATCTTTTGTGACTCCATATATTGCTATGAGGTTTGATATTATTCCCTAACAACTTTTTGAGCCCTTCAGTGTTTCTACACCAGGTTGTGAGTCTATTCTAGCTGAAAGAGTTTATCGTGATTGTACCATTTCTGTCAATCACAAGGGCACCATGGCTAACTTAATAGAGTTAGATATGGTGGAATTTGATGTTATTCTAAGTATGGATTGGTTTCATGATTGTTTTGCCTCAATTGATTGTAGAACTCGAGTAGTTAAGTTCCAGTTTCCTAATGAGCCAGTTTTTTAGTGAATTAGTAGTTCAGCAGTGCTTAAGGGTCGTTTTATTTCGTACCTTAAGGCAAGAAAGTTAGTTTTCAAGGGGTGCATCTATCACTTAGTCTGAGTTAATGACTCTAGTGTTGAGACACCACATATTCAGTCAGTTCCAGTTGTGAGTGAGTTTCCAGAGGTCTTTCCAGATGATCTTCCCACTGCCCCTCCTGAGAGAGAAATAGACTTCAGTATAGATTCTTAATACTCGACCTATCTCTATTCCGCCATATAGAATGGCTCCAACTGAGTTGAATGTCACGACCCGAGCCTACACCCTGGATGTGACAGGCACTCGAGAACCATTGTTGGTCCCCAAGCGAAACCTCATCCTAGCTGACTACAAGTGGAAGACTAACTCAAGTGTACAAAAGTTTGAAAACTGAATTAAATTTCATTGAACTCAAATACTCAACCTTTTTAAAAGTATGTACAATACTCAAAATAAAAGTAAATACAAAAACTCCTCAACTCTGTCTATCTATGAAGCCTCTACTATTATAGAAGGATATTGGGACAAGACCCACGACATCTCAAAACTACTAAATGTAAGATAAAGGTGAAGTCCTCCAAAATATAAGATGGCTCACCAAAGCTGACTGTAATATCACATGACCCCAACGAAATGCCTGTTAATGATCATGAATACCTGTATATGCACCATGAAATGATGCAAGCCAAATGGCTCAGTACATGGAATGTACGAGGATGTAAGGGGAATTCTAAAGCATAAACATTAGCTTGAACTGATGGAAAAGAAACATACTTACCTCTTCTCAACTCAACAGTACTCAATGAAACATAGTTCAACTCAACTCAAAGAAAATAGGGCACAAATCAATAGTAAGATAATCAACTTAGTGAAAATATGGCTCAACTCAATAGTAAGATACTCTACTCAGGATGCTCAAGGATAAAGCAACAATAAAAGATGCAATATCT